TAGAGAGATAGCTCAGCAGTTAAGAGTGCATATTGCTCTTGTAGAAAGCCCAAGTTCAATTCCCAGCCCCCATGTTCATGGAGGGGATCTGATGTCACACACACACACACATACACACACACACCATAATACACGTAATTTTATAAGTAAATCTTTAACAAATAAAACAGATGACTCAGAGGTTAAGTGCACTTTCTGAGCAATCGTGAGAACTATGAGTCAGATTCCAGCTTCCACTAAACAACTGGGTATCACATGCATACCTGTAACCCCAACTCTGAGGAAGGTGAAGTTAGGAAGATCACTATATCTTGCTGGCTTGTAGTGCAGTCAAGAAAGCCCAAAGCTCAGGGTCAGGGAGCAATGCCTCAAAAGCAATAGACAAGGAGTGATGGAGGAGGACTTGATGCTCTTTTGACCCCATGGGTGCCTACACATAATCTTTTTAAGAGTGAAAGTAAATAAATACCTTACAGGAGGATTCATGTTCCTTTGGGTGTTATACTTTTCTCTGTCCTCACTTTGCTCCATTTGCAGACCTTTGTTCTTCTATCTTGAGCACAGGTGGAGAGTAGGGGAGAAAGGAGGCTAATGAGGCGGGAGAGAGGAGAGGAGGAGGAGGGAAGTGCCTATGGCAAGCAGTGAAGGGGACAGTAATGGACAGGTGAGGGCCCCTCTGATAGACGGGTGCTCCCTGTTAGAATGTTAAGCATCTCACCTGGAATTTCAGCCACAGCAACCTTTGTGATCCAGGACTTGAAACAGTAGGTCACACAAGTACTAGCCAACTTCCTGTGGAATTTCTAAAGGAGGTCCCAAGCTTTAAATGTACCATCTTGCACCTATTCCACAGAACAAAACAGATGTGGGTTTTCTTGGGTTCTTTTTTTTTTTTTTTTCTGGTTAATTGTGGGATTTTGAAGGAAGAGCTAGCCAGTAGCCAGTGAGATGACTTGGTAGCAAAAGGCTTTGCTGCTAAAGCTGGCAACCTGGGTTGGATCTCAGAATCCACATAGTAAGAAAGAGCTGACTCTTCTACGTGGCCTCTGATAACCAACATACGTATGTAACACAAAAAATAAAACTCAGTGACAGATATTGGGGGTCGAGTTGAAAGATCAAAGAAGCAAAGCAGCCAAGCCACTAGCTCTTACCTCTACCCAGGTAAAACAATCATGCCCTGTATGTGGCTGGAGATTAACTGCCCAAATGTGACTGGAGACCAAAATGTCCCAGACTGAATATCTGCTACTAACTTATATACCGCAAGTGCTGGGATTAAAGGCATGGGATCCCAAGTGCTGAGATCACCTTTGTGTGAACAGTTTCTCTTTTAAACTGGGTCAATTTTGTGTAGCTAATGTGGCCTTGAACTAACAGAAATCCATCTACCTCTGTCTCCTGAGTCCTGGGATTAAAGGTGTGTGCCACCACCACCTAACTTCTATAGCTAACTAGTGTAGCTGGCTTTGCATTCTGATACTTCGGGCAATCTTTATTAAATCATAATATATCACCATGGGGGGTGGTTTTTAGGAGAGATTAGTGATTTTTAGCCTGTCTTTCTCTCCAAGTTGCTTTTGGCCATGGAGTTTTATCACAGCAATAGAAACCTTAACTAAAGCAGATGAATTTGGCTTGTAAACACAGGAGTCTAGTCTATCCTGTAACTTGTTATTATTCTGCCTCTACTTCTAAGGGATTACACCTCCTACTCCCTATTTCTTGTCATGTGATGCCCAGGGTCACCCTGGGGCTCTACCAACAAGAAGGCCAACACCAGATGCAGTGACCTGTTCTTGTGTCTCCCAAACAGAAAGCCAAGATAAACTTAAAAAAAAAAAAAAAAGACAAGTTCTCACTGTGGCCTCACGCTCGATTTGTGGTACCAGTTGTCAGCTAATTTGTGGTAATGCTCCCAGGTGCTAGGGCTGCACCAACATGTCCTGCATATAAATTACTTTTCTTTCTGGGGTTAAAAAGAGAAAAATCATTATGATGTTTCCAAATTGCTAATTTAGTTTTACCCCTACTAACAATATAAGCAATAGTGGAGAGGCTACCTTAAATGTCCTTCCCTGATAATGAGATTGATGACTACCTTATATGCCATCCTAGAGCCTTCATCCAGTAGCTGATGGAAGCAGAAGCAGACACCCACAGCTAAACCCTGAGATGAACTCTTGGAATCCAGTTGCAGAGAGGGAGGAGTGATGAGTAAAGGGGTCAGGACCAGGCTGGAGAAACTCACAGAAACAACTGACCTGAACAAGTGGGACTTCATGAACCCCAGACTGATAGCTGGAAAACCAGCATAAGATGACCCAGACCCCCTGATCATGGGTTTCCGTTAGGCATTCTGTAAAAGGCAACACTAAAGACATAGTCAAATAGTCCTTGGGCTCCTGTTAGTTGCTCATGGGAAGCAGCAATGACTAGGTATAACAACAAAGGTGGTACATTATGAAAAATGCTGACAATCAGAAAAGGGAGAGAGAAGAGGGGAGGAAGGACCCCATGTGAGTAGTTGCCACATTTTGTTTTCAAATTATCTGTAAACTTAAAATTGGGTATTAAGATTTATTTTTATGTGTCTGTGTGAGTTTATATGCACATGAGTGTTGGGCCTGAAGAGGCCAGAAGAGGTGTCAGCTATCCTAGAGCTGAAGTTAAAGGAGGCTGTAAACTTGCCTGATGTGGGTGCTGGGAACAAAACACAGGTCCTCTGGAAGAGCAGCAAGCTAGCTCTCTCTCTCTCTCTCTGTCTGTCTCTCTCTAATTTGCTTAAATGTATGTCTCTGTACCACATATATGTGTGGTCCCCACAGAGGCCAGAAGAGGGCACTGGAACTGGAGTTACAGATGGTTGTAACTAGTGGGTACTAGTAATTGATCCCAGGTCCATTGGCAAAGCAGCCAGTACTCTTACACATTGAACTATCTCTCCATCCCCCAGCAAGCACTTTTAACTATTAAGCCATCTTTCCAGACTATGTTTTTTAATTACAGTGTGTTTGTATACATGTGTATACAAACATGAGTTACAAGGAAATGAGTTACTGGATGCACATCCAGAAAAGTGTTCTAGAATGTTTGTATACACACACACACACACACACACACACACACACACACACACACACACACACATACACACACACACCAAGCCGTGTTGCTCTTTAAAACTTTGTTTTGTCTGGACCTGAAGTTTCAGCTACTGGGAAGTCTGAGCTAAGTGGACCCCCAAGTTCAAAGCCTGCCTGGATTACAGAATGAGTTCAAGGCCAGAGTAGGTAATTTACTGAGACCTGTTTCAAAATAAAAGAATGAACAATGCCTGGGATGTTTCTCTGTGATAGGCATTTGCCCATATGTGCAAGGAGGCCCACCTAGTTTCAACCCCTGGTACCATGAGAAAGCTAAACAAACACAAAAATATAGTTAGGGTATGTGTTGTCTTGGCTTAGAGTTAGTTCAGGGCAGTGCTGGGTTTGATTAGAAAACAAACAATTGCAATACCCAACAGTAAAAGAATTGTGTTGTTTAGATTATTATTGTTAGAAAGCTTGGAAGGCCTCACCCTCCCTGGGAAGCAGAAAGGGTATGGGGTAGGTAGTATGTTAGTTGGGGGGAGGGGTCAGGGGAGGGGGCAGGGAGAGGGAACTGGGATTGACATGTAAAACAATCTTGTTTCTAATTCAAAGTAAAAAATGGAGAAGGAAAAAGAAAGAAATCTTGTCTACAACGTGTGAGACACGGGGTTTATCCCTAGCACTACAAAACAAAACAATCACAAGAAAAGAAGGCCTTAGTGAAAGGTTCAGGCTTTGACGCTGATCGGCTTTACCTCTTTAAGAGACAGACCCTGCCCCCTGACAACCCACAGGGCATGCACGAGAAAACGTGCTACGTCATCACACGTCACCCGCCGCATGTGTGGAACCTCAGTGCACATGCGCAGGCTTCCCTTTAAAAGCTCCAACTTTCCTGCTTCACTCTCTCTGCTTCCTCTCTTTACACCGCTCTCTCTCTGCTCACTCCTTCTCTACTCTTCTCTTCTCCCACCTACACGCTCTGCCTCTCTAGGGCGACTGGCCATGGCGGTCAGCCATTACCCCTGTTCCTCTTCTCTCTTAGTCTCCCTACTCTGCCAGCCCTATAATAAACTAGTTAACATGTCTCATCTTGCAGCTTTCTCTTTTCCTCCTTTTAAATAAAAACATAACACTTAGTGGTGGGGGGATGGCTTGACAGAAAGGAGAGTATGCACTGAGGCACAAATTAGCCCTCACTCACATAGTGACATTCAATCAAAAAAATGTAAGAAGCATTTGCTGTGGCTAGAGAGATGGCTGAACAGTTAAGAGCATTTATTATTCTCAAAGAGACCTGGAGATCAAATCCCAGAACCCACAGATGGCTTACAACTACCTGTAACTCAAGTACTCCAGTTCCCGGGGACCTTACAGCTTCTTATGGCCTCTTTAGACACTGCATGAGTATTGCACATATACTTATACTCTAGCACAGACACACAATAAACAAAACAAATCTTTTTAAAAAGCACCTGTTAACTTCATTCTTCTATCTCTGTCTGTTTAATCTATCTATCTATCTATCTATCTATCTATCTATCTATCTATCTATCCCTCCATAGTTTTCCACAGACAGGAGTCCTGTAACTCACCAAGTAACCCAAGCTAGTTTTGACCTATCTGGCAGTCCTCCTATCCCTATCTCCTTTGACACACCCATATGTCTGGGTGCTAGAATCCCTTATGAGGTCCACAAGTGCCTGGTGTGTGTTGAAAGTCAAAGCTCCACTAGCAAGAGTAGGATGGCTTTGTTAGCCTGCTATGTTGTCTGTAGGGGAAGCTGTAGCCACGCCTACTTAGGGGCTGGCTGCAGGTGTGTCTGACCATGCCTGGTAGGGCATGGTCAGGGTGATGTAGAGTAAGTTTCAGTTGGCTGGGTTTCACTTTCGTTTTTCCCTTGGGCTTGCTGTACAGACTGCTGCCCTGTGGGCTGGCTAGGTTGCTCTGTAAGTAAGGCTTTTCCCTGTTAAATACCCTTACATTTCTACCTCGCTCCATATTGGTAATTTCCCACATTATCTGGTATCAGAAGTGGGATATTGGAAACCTACACCCCATTTGGGACAGGCTGTGGGTTGGGAAAGTACCCTCTCTCCACAGGTGCTCCCGGCTAGCAGCCAACCTGCTGCGCCACACAAGCGCATTCTCACTGCAGCTGAGCTACTCAGAACCGTCCGCCCAGCCAGGAGACAGTTTCTAGCTGCCTAGAGTGGAGTAGGCCTCGGCTTTCAGCAGCAGCTTCCCCTGGCTGCTGCTGCGGTAAAGCCGCATCTCTTTCAGTGGTTGAGGCTGCAAGGCCGTATACTCTCTAAGATAAGTGCAGCCGCTTTTGTGACCTCTCTCCACAGCTGCCACCAACCACTGCCAAACGCTGTGGACTAACTGAACGCCTGTGTTACCTGCTGGTCAAAGATAGTTACTGCATCTGGAGTAGAAATCAGGTAAAATTATGGTGGAATATTTATCATTTGCTAAAATTGGTAATATTTTTGCTTATTACTTTAATTCAATGTTTGAGGATGATGCTAATGTGCCAATTACTGGCCTATATGCCGTAATGGCAGTTAGCCTACTGGTACAAATAATATTACTAGCCAGGGGGCTCAGGAACAGGGACAGAGATAACCTCACCACCTGCTTGCAGGAAATAACAGCTTTATGCAATGAGGTTTTGGAGAACAGATTAGGTCAGACCACAATTGTGCAGCAAGTGGAACAGAAATTGAAGGAGAAGCTTGTCTCTGTGTCCAATACACTAAAGACAGAGCTATCTGTTACCCAAGATGAGATATAGCATATTTATGATAAGATAAACACAGAGAGATCCTCCATGTCTGAGGCCTTAGAGGCTAGGCTGTCAGAAGACCGTGACAAGCTAAAGAATATCTGTAGCCAGCTAGAAACTCAGATAGGCAATGTTACCCAGAAACTAGATACAAAGATGCAAAATACACAGGATAGGGTTGAAGAATTGGACAATGCCATTAATTCAATCAATTATTGAAGCATCTAAGGTAGCAGATCACAAATTTGAGTCTAGATTTGAATGTTTGGAAGATAATTTACAGTACAGGGCTGACAGATTACATAGGTCCATATGGTTGATTGCTGAGGACTAAAAATCAGCAAATCATGACCTCGAATCTAGACTCCAATACTTAGAAGGCAGTTTCCATGCCATTCAGATGCTGCCTAAGGATGATCATATTAAAGACGTAGAAAAAACGTGTAGAGGAGCAGTTAGAGCAATTTACAGATTCACTAATATGCTTGGAATCTTTTATGATTAAGGAAATTGAAACTTTTCATAAGGATATCATTACTAGGCTTAAAGATCGTTGGGATGCCTCAGAGGCAGAATCACTCCAATCTGAGGTACCTACTCCACCCAGGTATCATGACTGTTCCTCTAAAGTTGTCACTTGTACACCATTAGTGTACCCAGCTACCATCGTAGAAAAGCCAGCTTCTAAGAAACACCCTAATGGTCAGATGGCTTATGAATGGCAACCTATACAGCTAAAGGATCTTAAGAATATTAAAGAATCAGTTGTCTCATATGGTCTCCATAGCCCATACGTAAACAAGCTATTACATTCATGGGCAACCTTTAACAGGGTGACACCACAGATTGGGAATGATTGGTAACAGCTGTACTTGAGAATTCATGCCAAATCCTATGAAAGGCATTGGTGAGGGAAGAGGCGAAGCTCCTTGAGAGTCAGGGCATAAAGGAAGGTTTTGAAGCCCCTCTAGATAAACTTCTTGGTCAGGGTATTTATGCTAACCCAGAGGCTCAGGCTAAATATGATGACAATATACTGTCCCTAGGCAGGAAAGCAGCATTAAATGCCTGGAATAAGGTTCGTGAGCCAGGAGAATGCCCACATTAGTTGTCTTCTCTTCTCAGACCTGTTTTGATAAAGGAAACTCGGTTCCAAATAAGCTATGTGTGTATGTATGGAGGAAGGAAGAAGAGAAGCCATATTTTAGCTAATTTCAAATTAGAGCACCCCCAATATTTATTGACTATCCACTATTTGTAAACAAGGCTCTCATCCTAATTTGTTGGTTTGTTGTTTTCAATTTAGATACAATTTTTAGTGAACTAATTGAGATACAGTTCCATGTAGTCCAGGCTGGCCCAAACTCTGTGAAGATGCCCTTGAATGACTTTTTTGATCCTGTTGCCTCTGCCTCTGCTTGCTGAAGACACATGTGTATATCACCACAGTTTATGCAGTAACTGACCATTGAACCCAGGGCTATATGTGTGTGTTCTACCACCTGGTTTACACAGTCAGTTCTTCAGTTCCTATTCAGTGTGCATATATGCTCGTGCGTGCGTGTGTGCGTGTGGTACATGAGGGTATGTGTATGTGTTTGTGTGTCCTGTGTGTGAGTGTATGCATATGTGTTGTATTGTTGTTGTTTTTGTTATTGACATAGCTGGTTCTCAAATTCATGGGCTCAATAAATCCTCCACTCTTAGTTATCTGAGCATACCCATAGTTAGCCTTCAAAAACAATAGATTTTCTTCATGTTTGTTTTTTAATTCAAAGTAATAATGTAAATGGCTAAATCTTGATCCTAATTGGTATTATCAATAAAAGCCCGGAGTCAGATATCAAGGTAAATGCTGAAAGATCAGAGAAGCAAAGGAGCAGCCACAGTCACTTATTACCTCTCTGAATCCTCAGACTGAAAGGACAAGACCCTGTTTACACCCCACCCTATCACTTCCTGTCTCTGCTCTGTACAGACTGTTAGGATGCAGGCATTATGCTGACCTGCCCCTGTCACCTGGCAGAATGCACCCCAGCCAGTCCAGGTCCTATGACTGCCATTGTTACCACATAGTCTGCACCCAGGTACAAAGACTTTTTTAAGAGGCAAACTCCACCCACCTTCCCTCTCTCTTTCCACCATCTCTCTGAGGAGGCAGACAAAGCTCTGTCTGTTCTATCTCCCTCCCCCCTTTTCTCTCTGTCTCTCACTCTTTTCTCTCCCTCCCTCTTCCCCCACTCCTTCCCTTTTTAACAAAACTTCCTTTCCATGTAAGTTCTGCCTGATGGTGTGTTTGTCCCTCACCTGCCATGGGATCTGGCACGGTCCAACCTCAAGCTATATTATAACACAGACCTTCAGACCTCTATGGTTAACTTGTGGCTAGCTCTGCCCTCTAATCTCCAGACAAGCTTTATCTGTCAGAACACAAACAAAATATCACAACATATGGTTTAAGTGTTACTATGTTTATATGGCTTAAAACTTAATTACAGTCTGGGTGGAGCAGCAAACACCTATAGTTTCAGCATTCAGGAGGATGACGAAGTAAGGCCAAGAGCTCTAGGTCAGAGCTGGTAATGTAGCTCCCAGGTTGAGCAATTGCTTAGTGTGCACAAGGCCTTGATTTGATCCCCAGAAGCACAAATAAAAATAAAAACGAAACAGACTCTGTGGTGGTGTGAATAAGAGTTACCCCACAAGCTCATATGTTTGAATGCTTAGTCATCAGGGAGTGACACTATTTGAGAAGGTTTAGAGGAGGTGTGGCCTTGTTGGAGGAATTGTGTCACTGGGCGTAGACTCTCAGGTTTCAAAAGCCCATGTCAGGCCAGGTTCTTTCTCTCACTGTTGCCTGCAAATAGGGATGTAGGACTTTCAGCTTCTTCTCCAGCACCCTCCATGTTACCTGACACGATGAGAATGGACTAAGCCTCTGAAACTAAGTCAGCCCCCAGTCAAATGCTTTCTTTTATAAGAGTTGTCTTGGTCATGGTGACTGTTTGCAGCAATAAAACAGTAACTAAGGCAGAGTTTAAGGTCAGCCTGGACTCTATAGTAATTTTAAGGCCAGCTTTGGCTTACTTGTGTGGGTTATCGGTCACGGTATGACTTGTCTCAAAAAAGTAACAAAGAAATGTTCTGAAATATTCAAAATCAAGACTGGGGAATTTGCTCAACATCAGAGCCCTGACCAGCCCTGGCCTGTCCTGGACCACGCTGAAATCTGTCCCCTGCAAGCCTGTGTGGGTATGGTGTCAAAATCACAGAAAGAACAAACAAAACAGTAAAAAACAAACCAGGGCAATTAAAGTGTTCAAAAACTGTCTATCAAAACTCCAAAAATAAAATGGCAAAATGAAATTGTAGTTAAGTCACTATCACATTTTAGTTCAATTAAAGCATAAAGAAAAACAATGAATAAAAATACAAAAACCTAGAATTTTGAGTCAAGTCAAAAGATAATTAAGCACAGCTGAAGACCATTGGCTTTTACTACAGCAGTTATACAAAGCCAGCTGATTTCACAGTCATCATTCCTGGACTGACCAAAGAACATGAGGTCTCCTACCATACTTCCTGTATGAAGGTTTGGCTCTCTCTGCTGCCAAGAGTTCCTCAGCCCCATTCTGTTCAGTCTTCCTGCTTGAAGAGGACTGATTCATGAGATCTGCAGAACCATGAACTGAGTACAAAGAAAAAAGCAAAAGGCTGCTTGGCATGCTGGGAACAATACTTTGTTATGCAAGAATCTTTCACATTCTTGCTAAGAAGGAGGGTTTGACAAGTTAATTTGTCCTTTTACTTACCTAAGTACTTCTGCCACTCAAATCCTTTATGCATTTCAATGCTAGGCTCTTTCTGGAAAACTGAACACATCAATGCAGAGGTCCTTTGTCTTGAGGATTTAAGACAAAGACATGTGAGTGTGCCCCCCCACCCAGGGTTGGGTGGGGCTGGGGCTGAAAAACAACACTTGGGAAGGAGTGTGAGTGTCTAGATTTATGAGGTTGCCCTGTCTGAAAGGAATACAAAATGACAGACACCCCCACATGCACTGATTTTTTTTTCCATGTAACACAAGGCACTCTGTGAACTATGTGTCCCAGAGGAGGGTCTCACTGTCTGAGTTCAGAGACACAGTTCTCTAAGTATTAATTTTGAGCAGGGCCCAGGAAGGCACCCTCTATAAACCCAGCTTTGGGACATGGATATAGGAGAGTCACTGAGCATTCCAGTAGGGTTTTGGTTGCAGAGTAAAACACTGATACCCAAAGCCAAAAGTAAATAAAACAAAACAATTCAGTTAGGACTGGGGATGGTCATGCAATGGTCAAAGCAATCATCTACCATTCCCTGAGTTCTACCCCAGCACCCTAAACATAAATAAAACAACCAATAATCAAAGGGCTGTTTTTGTGAATCAAACCCAAGGTTTCATGCATTTAAGACAAGTGCCTCACTACTAATCTATACCTCAGGACATTTTTTACATTTTTCATTTTTTAAGACATGGTCTTGAATACACTCTGTAGCTCAAGAAATGCCTTGAGTTTTCATTTTCATACCTTACCCGAATAACTGGAGTTACAGGTCTGAGACCCAGACTTAGGCACACTTAGGGAAGAATTAATGGAGGGACTAGCTCCCCTTTCAGCAGCCATAACGGCCGAACACGTGCTTGTCTGACCTTGTCCTAGACACTAGAAAGTCAAATGCCTGCCTTGTGACAAGGAACCAATCAGAAGTTAGCTGGTGGCGCCATGCTTTACGACCCTGGGTATACTTTACGGACAAGCACAGAGCATAGCAACCACCCTGGGAGGGCCTATGGACCATAACAACCAGTTGGCCAATTAACACAGGGCAAGCCCTCCAAGCCTGGAGGCACACCAATCCTGAGCTCGTGCGTACCCCTAGACACTCCCCTTACGCTGCCTTACAAGATCTCTCGGGAGGCCCTAGGAGCTGTCTTTGCTAGCCATCTGCCAGGGCAGGTGGGAGAAAGACCCGAGCTAACATGGTGTTAGCTCGTTAAATTACAATAAAGCTTCATGCAGTTTACAGCAAGCTCTCGAATCCGCCTGGTGATTGGGGTGACCGAGGTCGTGGCCTGGAACCCCAGATACCTGAGTTTTCCGGGGGGTCTAACATTTGGGGGCTCGTCCGAGATTTGCGACCACCCCTCACCTGAGTGGATTCGATCTTGGAGGTAAGATGATTCGAGCTGGCAACTTATATGTTCAATGTTATATGTTTGCTTGTTATGTCTCTTGCTGTTAGGGCTACTTGGCAAAATGTTCTCTCAAAATAAAAAAGGGGGGGGCACTGGTACAGTGCACTGGGTAAAGGTACTTGTTATAAGGCCTGAAAACCTGAGTTTGATCCTGGGAACTCACATGATAGGGAGAGAACAGACTCCTGACTTCTATGTGTGGGTGTATGTCTACATACATACACTCCAATACTCAAAATAAATAAATACATGTAATCAAAATTAAAAAGACACAGTTTTAGCAGTAAAAGGAGAGAACTGACTCCTTAACTTAAGTTGTCCTCTGACCTCCATACATGCCATTGCATGTATGACACCCTGATATAAATGAATAAATTCTATTTTTTTTTTGTTTGTTTGTTTTTCGAGACAGGGTTTCTCTGTGTAGCTTTGGAGCCTATCCTGGCACTCGCTCTGGAGACCAGGCTGGCCTCGAACTCACAGAGATCTGCCTGCCTCTGCCTCCCGAGTGCTGGGATTAAAGGCGTGCGCCACCAATGCCCAGCTAAATTCTAATATTTTTAAAAAGTATTTAAAAACAAAAATAATCTATGTTCAGCTGAGGGGCATGAGCAAAATCCTGCCATTCCCAGTAATGTGAGTTAACTAAAAATTTTAGATACTATTAAGAACAAACAAGGAGGCTGGGCAGTATGCACCTTTAATGCAAGCACTTGGGAGGCAGAGATGGTTGGACCGCTGTGAGTTCAAGGCCAGTCTGGTCTACATGGAGGTCCAGGACAGGAAATGAGACCTTGTCTTAAAAAAACAAAAGAAGAACATGGGGTTGTTTGATGTGGTCGAACCCAGGTCCTCTTCAAGACCAGCCAGTTGTTAAGTAACAGTTTCCTCTATATTGAAACATTCCACCTGTAGGGCATTTGTAGCACATGCCTTTAATCCCAGCACTGAGGAGGCAGAGGCAGGCAGATCTCTGTGAGTTCGAGGCCAGCCTGGTGTACAGAGCAAGTTGAGGCAGAGGCAGGCAGATCTCTGAGAGAAACCCTGTCTCAAAAAAAAAAAAAGCAGCAAAAAAAAAAAAAAAAAAAAAAAAACAAAAAAAAAAAAAAAAAAAAAAAAAAAAAAAAAAAAAACAACAAAAAGAAACATTCCACCTTGCAACAAAGCTTCTTAAGGAAGGTAAACAAATCAAAATAGATTCAGGAAATCCCTAAAGCTGACCAGATTCACTAGGACCCTTCTTACCAGAGCTACAAATAAAACTCTCAGACCAGGCCCCCTGCCTGGAAAAGGTTTGGATGAGTTGAGGTACCTGGAAAGGACACCCTCTAACCATTGAGCTGACTATAGGTCATGTAGTATGCTCCAGGTTCCCAACTTTGTGAGCCATTGCCCCTGCTGGGGTGGGTTTTGGTGATGCAGCTGTCTTTGAGTCATTTCTGCTCTTGTAAGTAACCCCTCATCCATATTCCTGTAAATCACCCCAATAAAACTCATTGGCTCACCAAATTGGACTTTGGTGGTATCAACACTTTGGTCTGTTGTAGATTCTCTATCAAGTGTTCGAACTCCCCAGGAAGTTTTGTCATAAAATTCAGTTCTCTTAACCATTGAGCCATTTCTCTAGCCCCCATTTTTTTGTTTGTTTGGTTGGTTTTTTTGAGACAAAGTCTCATTGTGTCACCCTGATAGCCTGGAACTCACTATGTGGACACAATGGCCTCTTTCTCACACAGATCTGCCTACCTTTGCCCTGAGTGCTGGAATTAGAAGCAAGAATCCACACCTGTCTGAAGATGGTTTTTTGTTTGTTTGTTTGTTTGTTTGTTTTGTTTGATATGCAGTCTCTCAAAGCTCAGGCTGGCCTTGAACTTCTGATCTTCCACCTTCTATCTCCTCAAAGCTGGGGTACACGTAGCTTTGTTAAGTATAATTAAAACTTTTGAAATTAGATGTAATTCATCTGCAATCCTAGAACTCAGGATGTAGAGAAAGGATCAGTTCAAGGTCAGCCTTGGCTACGTACATAAGACCCTGTTACAGAGAAAGGAAAAAGGTATGGGAGGGAAGATTTTGCTTCTGTAGCAGGTTTATAACCCCAGTTTCTCTGGTGAGACAGGAGAATTTCAAGTTCAAGGCTAGCCTACTCAACTTTCTGAAATTCTGTTGAAGGGACTCTAACTGTCCAGGTCATACAAACATGACTATGGCAGGCATTGCCCTTTTCTGCCACTCCTTCTGCATTCCCTTTTCCCTTTATAGACTGCCTTTTCCTTCTGGGCCACACCTGTCTCCCCTCTATCTAGAGGCCATCCTTTGTCACTCCAGGACAAATACTCTTTTTATTTTATTTTGTTATAAGCTGTTGGCTGGTGACTTCTTATTGTTAACCCATAACTACTAATCTATGTATTTCCTCATGGCCAGGGAGGAAATACATAGATCCAGGGACCTGTTACTCCTCTGGCATCCTACATGTCAACTGCTCAGCATGTCGGCAGAGCAGAGGAGAGAAGAGAAGAGAAGAGAAGAGAAGAGAAGAGATTTCCTGCTTGTCCCTGCTTATATACAGGGTTTCTCTGTGTAACTTTGGCAGCCCTTGAATTCACTCTGTACACGAGGCTGGCCTTGAAGTTACATTGATCTGCTTGCCTCTGCCTCCCAAGTGCTGGGATTAAAGACGTGTGCTACCACCGCCCAGCTACTCTATTTCTTTCTTTTTCTTTTTTTTTTTTTCTTTTTTTTTTTCAAGACAGGGTTTCTCTGTATAGCTTTGGAGCCTATCCTGGCACTCGCTCTGAGACCAGGCTGGCCTCGAACTCACATAGATCTCCCTGCTTCTGCCTCCCAAGCGCTGGGATTTAAGGCGTGAGCCACCAACGCTGGGCCTATTTCTTTCTTTTTTTCTTTTTTTTTTTTTTAAACAGCTTTAAAAAGCTGTTTATTTCCCAAGCCTACGTATATTTTTAAACACACTGTAAACCTTTAGAGGTTTCATTTCATCTGAATCTGTTTTTACTGTATATCTTTACCTTTTCTAGCCAAGAATCTTTTGTCTGCTAAACATTGCTAAAATTAAAACCATGGCTGTTTTAGCAGCTGTCTTTCCAAGATGGCAGGGGTATGTTTACCGCCAGCACTGAGAGCTGTGTTCACTGCCTCGGTCTGTATGCTGCCATCAAGCAGCAGGCTGCCAGCTTGGAAATGTGGTCACTGCCACTGCCAGCTGCTTATATGCACCATTCAGTTGTTAGCAGGGCCTCTTAAAAAGTCCTGCAGTTTTCTGCCTCTCATGCTGAGTCAGGAAACTTCCCTTAAAGGAGCCTCGTGAGTTTCTGCTTGTCTCTAGCAAAACAGAGACCACTCAAGAAAATGCTACTACCAAGAAGCCATGCTTGACTTTGTTCTTTTGTTTCTAAAGTTCCTTTTTCAAGCTTTTGTCATGTTTACATGGAAATTCATGCTGCATGCTGATGGCGCCATTTTGTAACGTGAGGTTTTCTCTGGCCTGGCTAGGTCCATTGCCCTTCTCTGCCCAAAGAAACATGCAGACGCTATATTAGTTATAAGTTGTTGGCTAGCGACTTTGGCTTCTTATTGTTAACCCATAACTACTAATCTATGTATTTCCTCATGGCCTTATCTTACTGGAGAAAGGTCCAGGGACCTGTTACTCCTCTGGCGTCCTACATGTCAACTGCTCACCGTGTCACAGAAAAGAGAAGAGAAGAGAAGAGAAGAGAAGAGAAGAGAAGAGAAGAGAAGAGCGACAAGTACTCTGGTTTTATCTGACTTGTTCCTTTTCCCCATCTCCCTTGTCCTCTGTCTCCTGTCTTTGTCTGTTATTCCCTGCCCATTGTTCCTCTGGGACAGATAAATATCCTTTGTGCTGAGAACTTGGTCTTGAGGTGTCTTGTACAAATACAGACCCCTTCAAATGTCCTAACATTTTGTAAAAAGTGATGAGCACTAAGGAAGAATGCTTGCCTATCATGGATCAGTACTGTGAAAAAGAAATTGGGGATAGGGGTTTCAAGACAAGGTTTCTCTGAGTAGCCCTGGCTGTCCTGGAACTCACTCTGTAGACAAGGCTGGCCTCAACTCAGATCTGCCTGCCTCTGCCTCCCAAATGCTAGAATTACAGGCATGTACCACCCCTACCTGGCTAATACTGTAAATTTTTTTTAATGAAAATTTAAATATGTATGTTTAAACCTTTTTATACAGTTAGGAAATAGAATCATCCTTAAGTTTATTTTAAACAATTATCTAGCATTAACAATAATAAAGTTCATGCTATTAAGGTTGTTCCAGAAAATCCAGGTCGTTCAACGTTTGGTTCTTTGACGTTTATTTTGTTTCCATGATTTCCAGGTGTAAAACACCTGGAAGCTCAGGCCTCCAGGGTCTCAGCCCAGGACCCCAATCACCAGGCGGATTTGAAAGCTTGATGCAAACTGCACGAGGCTTTATTATTATTATGTTAGCTCAGGTCTTTCACTCACCCGCCATGGTGGATGGCTAGAAGAGACAGCTCGAATCGGCTGCATAGAGATCTTATAGGGCAGCATAAGGGCAGTGTCTAGGGGTACACACAGGCTCAGGATTGGTGTGCTTCCAGGCTTGGAGGGTTTGCCCTGTGTTGATTGGCCAACTGGTTGCTATGGCCCATGGGCCTCCCAGGGTGGTTGTTATGCTCTGCCCGTCTTTGCTGTGCATTTGTCCAAAAAGCACACCCAGAGCCGTAAAGCATAGCACCACCAGCTAATTTCTGAATGGTTCCTTGCCACGAGGCAGTCATCTGACCTCTTAGTGACCAAGGCAAGGTCAAACAAGCACATGTTCGGCTGTTATGGCTGCCAAAATGGGGAGCTGGTCCCTTCACAGGTTGCTTAATTAGTACACACATTTGGCTTTGCAAAAGCAGCAAGTCTTTCAGCCAAAATCAGAAGGAGTGTGCTTCATTTCTTCTACGTGCAGAGCACTTTCTTCCCAAACAGGAGACACACTGGTTAAGATGTGCCTATGTGTTTGTGTTCTACACAGCAAGACCCTGCCTCCAATGGTATTTAATAGACCTAACTTACAGAACCCCACAGAAAAATACAGCCTACCTAAGGCATACTAAGAATCATTCACACTATTCAGCCTGGTGATGTAGACCTAGAATTGCAGCTATTTGGAAGGCTGAGGCAGGAAGATTGCCTAATTCAGATCAGCCTGGGTTAGAGAGCAAATCCAAGGTCAAACTGGGTTAATTCTTGAGACTGTCTCAATATGTAAAGTACATGTCTGAGGCTATAAGCTGAGTGTTGTCTGGGTAGGGAATTCAGATCAGGTATTTTCTTGGGACTGGGTCTCTCAACTTTAGTTTGTTATTTCACAAACCATCTAACATAAAGCCTGTTTCATATTAAAGTATGGAATAGCTCATGTATGGCTCTATTCAGTGAGATGGTTCAGTGGGTAGAGTTGCTGCCAAGACAACTTGAGTTTAACCTCCAGGACCTATATGGGAAAAGGCAAGAACTGACTCTGTCAGGTTGTCTTCTGACCTTCACCAGTACAAAATGACCTTGGAAAACACACACACACACACACACACACACACACACACACACACACACACAATGGGTGTGTGTGTAATGAGTAGTTCATGTAACATATCCAAACTTCATTGAAGATGAAAAGCAGATGGATGTATAGGTACAACCATGGTTGTGATGGTTAAAGAAGCTCCATTTTATGCCAGGCATCCATCTTGGTACCTGCTGGCCATTTGTCTCTGACTCTAGTCCCTGGAAGATAAGTTCTCAGTAACCCTGACTCAATGATCTACACCCAAAAATGTACAGCTGTGACCATCTACTCGTTATGATACAACTAACTGCTTTTTTGGCTTCTGTAACTTGTGTACACAGATACCCAAAGATTGTTTTGAGTCCTGTTAACCACTTTACTTGGCAGAACAGAATAGTTTTTGCCTACTTGCATAGATGGTGAAGGTCTTCTTGTGTTTTTTGCCTTTAAAAAACAAAAACCCTTCCCCATACCCCTCCTTCATGTCATGCCTGAGATTTGGCTTTAAGGCTGCTGTCATGCCAGACCTAATCAATAAATCTTCTAATTATATTTGGATTGAGTCTAAGGCCTTTTCCTGGCGGTCAGAAACTCTATAACTCAGTAAAGAAGAGAAATCACAAAGCCACCTTTTTTTCTTTTCTTCAAAGATAAGATAAACAAACCTCTGAGGTTTGTTTTCTTTTCATTTTTATTTTAAAATTTTAGTTTTCATTTTACATATCAACCCCAGATCCACCTCCCTCCCCTTCTCCCTCCTCCCACCATTCCCACTCCTCATCCCCTCCTCAGATGGGGTAAGGCTTTCCTTGGGGAGTCAACAAAGTCCGGCTTACCAAGGTGAGGCAGGAGCAGTGCCCCCATCAAGGTTGAGCAAGGTATCCCATCATAGGGAGTGGGTTCCAAACAGCCATTTCATGCCCCTGGGATAGGTCCTGGTGCCACTGCCAGGGGCTCCCTCAAGAACTTCTCTGAGTTTGATGATTACAGGTGTGCACCACAATGCCAGTCTTAACTTATTTTCTTTTTCTTTTCTTCTTTTTTTTTTTTTCCTGTTTGATTTTTGATACAGGGCTTCACTGTGTAGCTTTGACTATACTGGAATTCACGTGATGATCTTGGACTCACAAAGATCCAACTGCCTCTGCCTCCTGAGTGCTGGGATTAAAAGTATGCGCCCCTACAGCAGGCTAAGTGATTGTCACATAACTACTTTCTGTGATTTAAAAAAAATATTTTTGTAATTATTTTATTTTATGGGTATGGGTGTTTTGCATGAATGTGTATATGTGCACCATATGTGGGTGCTAGGGACAGAATCCAGGTCCTCTGCAAGGTCAGTACATGCTCTTTAACCACTAAGCATGTTTAGCTCCATGATTATTTTTTTCTTGTATTCGTTGCTCTCCAAGGAGTGGATCCCACAGCTCTCTGTATGCTTGCTGAGAGCCACATCGCCAGTCTGCTCCTCCTCCCCTTTTTTCATTTATGAGACCAAGTATCATGTAGCCTAGCGTGGCTTTGAACTTGGGATCCTTCTGCCTCTACCTCCTAAGTGTCAGGACTAGCATTACAGTCAGTTTTATACAATGCTGGGATGGAACCCAGGGCTTCACCCCGTTTGCTAGGCAAGTATTCTACTGACTGAATTACATCTCCTAGCTCCCTGTTTTTTGTTTTTGCAGACAGGATCTCACTCTATAGCCTTGAGTGGTCCTTGTTTGGTCCAAAACAGCCCCCCCCCCCAAAGTGGCAGTGCTGATGACAATGTCTTAAACTGAAGAACTCTGACTGGGCAATCAGAAGCCTAAATTCTACATTCTCCTAAAACTCACTTCTGTTTACCAGAAGTCTCCTTTAATCTGACCTCAAAGGTCAACTACCTAGGGTCAAGGTCATCTAGTTCTTCACTAGTCCTAGCAGCCTGTGTCAGCTCACAGTCCCATCCAACAGACTCAAATGAAGTCTGCTTCTTTGCCAGCAGGCTGTTTCTCTATTTGATACCCCCCCCAATGGGGGACCGAATATTTCTGTTATGGAATATTTTGGGTCCCAGTCTCTAGCTGCTGTAAACAGTTAGAGAGGTGCGAGAGGTGTGTGAGTAACTTTTGAGGATGGAAGGTCAGGAGTTAGGGGCCAGCAACCAGAGAAGAGAGAGGACAAAGAAAGATGGTTTCCTCATGGTGTTGGCAGGATGGTTCAGAAACACCAGAAAAGATGGCTAATAAAGAAATGACTCTAGTTCTACAACATGGAACTGAGAGCTCTCTGAAGATGACAAGATGCCTGTGTTTGATCTTTATCGCTGTTGGGTTACTGGGAGCTTCCAGGGCCACACACCCCCACTCAGGCCGAACCTCATGGCTGTCGTGGGTTAAAGCTGAGACAAGCCGGGTCACGACAAAATGGCGCCCGAACTCGGGGCCTGAGAATGGGGGAAGAAGCCTTGGACACCACGAAACGGACAAGGCAGAGGCTTGGACTATTCAAAGAGATAGTCGTTGCAGGCGAACTGGTTGGAGAAGAAGCATGCGCAGGAAAAAGAAGAAAGAAGTGGCCGAATGTGGTGAGTGAACAGCGTTAAGTCAGGAATAAAACTGTATATAATTATAGAAATAGGAAACAGATATATGTAATATAAAATAGGAAGACGCCAGCCAGCAGCTGATGAAAAAAGATAAATCGGGTTATTTAACCCTTAAAGCAGAAATGTGCACAAAATATATATAAGACAAAAATGTCAGCCAGCAGCTGACAAGATAGGTAAAGTGGGTTATTTAACCCTTAAAGTGATGGGAGATGGGCAAATAGAAAAACGTCAGCCAGCAGCTGATGAAAATAGGTAAAGCGGGTTATTTAACCCTTAAAGTGAGAGAAAATGCACACAGTAGATGTGAGACTGAAATGTCAGTCAGGTGATAAAGTAGTAAAATGTAATGTGTTAAACTCCAAAATGAAAAATGCAGGTCATTGTAAATATGAAACAGGAATATTAGCCAGATGGTAAAGAGAAGTAAGTTAGCCTTGAAAGTAAAAATGTTTATAGTTAGAGAAATCTGGCAGATAATTGTTAGTCAGATGATTGTATATTTACTTGGATATAATTTAATAGCTAGGAGAGCTAAATCAAAGTGAAAGCAAGTACAGGAGATTTTAGAGTTTTAAAGTTTTAAAAGGATCCTTCCCGCTTGCAAAAGCCACCGCCATGATGCAGCATTTCGAGTTGCGCAGGGGCTTGGGAAGACATAAATTCGGTCTTGCATACAAGCAGGCCCTCAGGAGATATCTAGGATTGTAATGGAGAACAGAAAACTCCAAGCCTATTTAGGGGTGGCTGGATGGTAAAGAATATACAGGACAAATGATTGGGATGAGCAGGGAGAGAGAGTTAATAAGTACCAAGATGGAGAGTCTTCACCTCCTACATTTTAAGGTGGGAATACAGAGGCAAATACTCAATGGTAAAATTTAGCAAGAGTTAAGAGACTTGGAAATTGGAGCGAAATTGCTTACAGGAGATAAGAAATTTATAGGTTTCCTTGGATCAGAGAGAGTGGCTCAGGGGAACATAGCAGGATACATATGCCAATACCATTCAACCAGCTCTAGGAACTAATAATGGCTTGTGTCCAGTATGGACCAACAGAGGCTGATAGGGAATATTGCTATAGAAACCTCACCCCTAGGAAATTGAAAGCGGGTAACCAAGGCCTCTCGGTCAGGAGCAGGATATTTGTTATAGAAAGCAGGCAGGGACCTAGGGAGTTAGTTCAGAATTGATTTCTAGGCCTGTATGGACATTATACAAAAAAGTTAGAGACACAGGTGTTGGAACTTTGATTATGAAATAGCTAGCTTATGAGAATGTTGGTACTGCATG